GTTTTAGCTTCTAATTGCAAATTTAGAAAATAGTAATAAGTAACCTTACATTTTAAAGAAAGTAACATAATTTCATAAATGTATACGGGCACTTAGTTAAAATTTAAATACTAAGTTATTTTTTTATTAACATGAAAAATTTCCAGAAATAAAGATTTATATTTTTCATTTAAAATGACATAAACGTAGAAATTACTAGAACAGCCGATACAGACCAGGGTGGTCAAAACGACGGTGAGAAAATCTTGCTGTATGTAATTCTTATCTATCTCACCTGTGAGCAAAGTCGTGGTCAGAAAAAAGGTAAAATTGACCACAAAATAGATGGATGTGATTGTCATTAGAGTGCGCGTCGCCCGGTGAGAATTGGAACCATTACTCGTTGTCATGTTCCTCCTATTTTTTGTGCTTAGTTTAATTTTAATGCTGACCAACACTGATCCGATTAAGACGATAACTAATGGGAATATACTGCTCATGTAGTTGAATATGTAGCCTTTAAAGAATGAAATAATTTCCCACTTTGAGGTACAGAATTCTGTGATTTCCATTGTAGCTGTACCCGATGAGTATTGGAATGAAGCGCATGCAGTGAAGAAAATATTGCAAGGAAGCCAGAAAATGTAAGCGATGATGACAATAGCTTTAGCTTTTTTTGTGGTCATTATTTGTTTAAATTTTAATGGAAAGTATACGGCGAAAACCCGCTCCACGGAAATTATTGGCGGAAGAGTCACAGATATGTACGACCCCCACATCATGAGAAACACCATGATCCGGTCTAAAGTATACACGAACAAAGCTACAATGTATGAATAATGCCAGCCTGTATACGTGTAAGTGAAATCCTCAGCTATCATAAACGAGATTAGGTTCGTGAAGTAGACTGCGAAAACCAGAGTCATTGAGTCTGCGATCGTTAAAGACATGAGGAATATGGTTGAAGATTTGTGGAGTCCGTCCTTCACTAAGACAGCAAGGCCGAACATGTTGGATATCAGACCTACAATACCTATAGTAGGGTTTACGATGAACAGCAAAGCAACGTGTACCTGGGCCATGACCTTGAACGATGCGCTCATGTGTTCTGTTGATGACGTGTTAGCTGTGATTCCAGCCGTTGGTTGTGTCACATACATTATCATGTCATAAATTATGGCAGACATTAATTTTTAAAAAGGTTAAGTTGATTTTGTTTTCGTTACCTTCACAGATTTTTTTCTTCTTGAAACTCCTTCGTTCTATAAAAGATAAACCATTAAAATTGGTTTTAGCATTTACAAATACAAATATTACACAATTTAGAAAAAAAAAACAGTGCATCACACTGCAAACCATTTAATAACAAATGTTCGTGTGAATGTAACTACATTAGCGATCCGCTACTATATACCACCAACAGTGATTAATAGTTTAAGAATCTTTTTTTCGTACACAAAAACTATTATTATTTACCTAATTTCGAATACGTATCAAAAATGGATTAAAATAGAAAAAAAAACTGATGATGATGGTTCTTTACTTAAAACTCACAAATAACATACAATTAATGTTCAGGAGTAATAACCGTATCGTCATTTCTACCGCAGTGATTTTATAACATTTTGAAAATCGGATGGTATAGCATGTAAAAAACAAATGATGAGAATTAGTTGAAGTTTGATCCAAAAGATTGTATTTAAGTCTAAATTGAGTCGGAGGATTTTACCACAAAACCACCACCACCAAACAGACATGCATCGTATATCTAGAAATATCTTGCAAGATTTTTATTATTTTAGCGCCCGAATTAAATAGACAACCTGACTACGTTAAAGTGTGTTGATATCTGTCACACGTCATAGGGCTACATTATACCCCACAACTGGCGTATTAGCGATTTTTTAGTAATTTTCTGAAGACCGAGTAAATCGACTAATCAATAAGTTTGTACTACAGAAGTATACTCTTACCCAGCACTATTATTTAGGGTTCAATATACTTGTCTCCTTTACAGTCTTTATAAATAACTCTAGTACTCTGTCTCAAAATGTGAACAGCGTGTCTACGTTTTATAACAATTTAATGTAAGATTTTCAGGAATATTTTTTTTCAAATTAAAAGGCGAATGTCCCTGGTTAATAAACGTTTTGCCCGAGATAATTTTCGTCAATAAATTTTATAGGTTAGTTACCTGAGCTTATGCTCCGGGCGATTGAAGTAATCATGAAATCGTTTAATTTCTCAACATTCTACATGGTGCGGAGCCTGCTGGAAATTAAACTGCAGTCAGAGATAGCCGAAGGGAACAAGATGTAAACAAGACGATTGTCATGGATTACAAAATTTTTTTTTATTGTTTAATTGGATATAGTATTTCAGGTCGAAGCGTTTACATCGGGGCTATGATTTCTCTGTATCTAACGAGCAAACAGCACGTTTTGATGCTAGAGTAAATTTGAGAAACAATTTAGAGGTTGGTTCTAAGGATAAAAATACGTCATTCGTTTGGATTTCTTGATAGCTTAATAAATTAATGTGGTTTTGTTGATCGCGAATTACATTTAACTTACGGCGTTTTGTATTTAAAATATATTTAGGAATTGTGTATTTCAATACATTACTTCAAATTAAAACCCTTTCTGAAAGCAATGTTTAGATGTATTACAAACACACATTAAACGTTTGAATCCAATGAGTTCGAAAGTGATTATAATTAAATATACTTAGAATAAAAACATGTATTACGTACACAAGGACTGTAAAATTTAAAAAGGAATAGATAAATACTTTCTTTATCATAGCTCATGTACTCTATGTAGCAATGTGCAGGGCAGTATCTAGATCTATATTTTATATCATTTTATAAGTAAAGTGTTAGCTTTTTTTCTGGAATTGTGACACAGTTAAAATACACATTGATTAGTAAATTGACTGCTCGATAAAATTTCTGTCTTGAGAAACAGAATAGATTTTTAGAAGACTTTCGCATTAGCTCTAATGTGAGACGTTTGTAGTAATAAATAAATCGTTTAATTTATTAACATTTTGACTTGTGATTAGCTCAGAGCGAGTTGGAAGTTAAATGTTTTTACAATTAGCCTAAGCGAACAAGATGCAGAAGAAGATTAATTAAATTAAATAGCGCAACTTTGATAATTTAATTGGATTTAATATTTTCAGGTCAAACCGTTCACATTGGATCTCATGTTGATCCAATCCATAGGATCGACAGGCGCGCGTTGATGTTGGATGAAACCGAAATGTACACAGACAAGAAGGGTTAACTTCCCTAGGGTAAAATCTCTCTCGTTTAGATTTAACTTTTGATAGCTTGACAGAGAAACTAGGCGGTTGGGCTCAGTGCTGACCACACGATCTATCTGTATGCCGTGGTCATTGAAACAGACTAATTCTACTTCATCTACCCACATTGACATGGGTACATACAGAAAAAAAAGTTGCATTAGAAATTTTTAAAAATGTGACTTCATTGGCGTTCGCAGAGAAATCCCGTGTGAAATTCACGTCTGTGGCGAAGTATACTGTCAAGACTACCAAGAGCAACAACAACCTTATCAATATTTTTGCATTGAAACGAGCGTTTTGAAAGAATGAAATTACACAAGTGAAAATGCTATTTGGATTCGCTTTAAACTATGGTTATTATCATCATTCCATGTTGTTTAATATCACAGCCAAGGATGATAAGCAGACGGGGAATGTCAAGAACGCCGCTTAGTCGTATATCGTCATATCGTCATAAGGCTCCATCATAGTCAAAGCCCTAGGAGAGGAGGGTGCTGTCTCCTAAGCAGGTAATGATCGCGTGTTATATTTCGTGCAAGTCTGTCCGTAACTTCAAAGTGAAAAACAAACAACAATAGAAATACAGAACACACGAAGCCAAGAATTTATGATATCGGAAACAAATGCAATTTCAATAGGATGATTTTCACCATACATATTTGCTGAGTATGAGATACTATATTATCAGACACATTAAGATTTTTCCTGACCATAAGAGAGATTAACATGATTGTTACCAAATTTTTGAGTTTCATGTATATCTGGTGAATATCAATTATTCTGTAGCACTAGATACATTAAAATGTTTACTATTTCGTGGTTTCAAATAATTACTATAAATTAAGTTTAATAATTTGATTGGTATGGAAGGCGTGGCTAGCGCTAGACTACCAAGGCGAAAATTTGGAGTTCAAATCAGTAGAACGTCTCTGAGTCCACACTGCTGTAATGGTTACCTAACTCACATTAGGGGAAATAAAGGCGGCTGGGGATATTGCTGACCACATTATCCTTTCGTATCACGAGGTCACTGCAAAAGATGAACTCTACTTCATCAGCTCCATGTGTCTAGAGCACGAAAGGGAAAAAATGATGATGAATATGATTTTTTATATTCTGAGGTGGAGAAATTACATTATCCTAGTGATATCTTTCATAAAGGAAATCAACCAACAGTTCGATTCATGTACTAACTGGATGATTGTAGATTATGATACGTGGATACATCATCAAATACCAAATATTTCTTCAAGCAGCATATGTTTATTTCACAGATTTTCTTTACTTTTCTTAACAAAAGTTCAACTGTTATTTGTATCTTTCAGACATACATACGACATATAAATTATCTATCATCGCTGTTGAGATATTTTAATGCCAGACAATTCAATAAAAAATATGAAAGCAAAGAAAATATTAAATACGTAAAGCGAAAACAGGATTTCTCATTTTGGAAAAAAAAAGTTTAAGTAAGCTTTTTAAAACTTAGAATTTACATTTAACTGTTCAAACTTCTTAAATATTATAATTTAAACAATGATTGTACAATTATTAGTAAAAATGAAATAGTTATTTAATCTATACATTCATTTACTAAATATATCAACATCATTTTTGCTTTGCTGTTCAAACTATTTTTAGCAACAGACGTTTTTCCACAAAAGCTTATTACTGAAAATTCAAGGCCAATTGAGGTCAATGGTTATCCTTATTTAAAGTGCGGTTTTTTCCTTTCGACACCAAATTGTTTTAAAGGTCCGCCTAAAGCCTGAGCTCATTGCAAGAAATATAAACAAATGGATGGAAGCGTTTAGAAAATCTAAGATAAAGATAAAAGACACGGTGAGAAAAAACAGGTCGTTGTATTTCCTGAGCAGGTAAAACTCTGGCTCCACCATCTGGGCCAAGTAAAACACGACTCGTGGGAACAGGTTGATGATGTAGACAAAGGTCACGGACAGGAGAGTCAAGGCCACTTGTTTTTCCCTGGCTGATAACGTCAGAATGGACGAGGCGTTGTCTGATTTGTGCTTCATGAACCGTGACGATTTCTTCAGGTGAAATACGGTCAGGTAGGAACAGATACAAATGATGAAAAAACTAACGGATGGGAGGATTATACCGACGGCTTGGTAGTAGCTCATGATGATGTCAGATTTATTAAGGTAAAGTTTAGTGAATGCGAGTTTAGCGATTGTGGCGTTAAACTCCGGACTGAATTCGAAGACGATCTGGTATATGCCGTAGATGACGGTGTAGGAACCAAAGACAAGGATGGATATCGCCGTCACACAAAGTATTGTCACTTTACGAGTGATCATCAGCTTGGCCTTGAAGGGCAGGCTAACACTCAGACATCTCTCCACAGAAACAAAAGCCGCTAGAGCGTAAGAAACATAACCAGCGAAGATCGTCGTGTACTCGAAGTACGGGATTGTTAAAATCCTCCACGAAAATCCTACACTTGGGGAAATCAATTCCAGCGGGCCGTATAATCTGTGGATTAACCCACACATACATCTTATTAAGTCCCAGGTGGATATAGAGAACATAGATATGACGGGGCCTTCTTTGAAGCCCTGGTGCCGAAACACTGTGATGATAAGCAAGTTGTTAACTGCGCCCAGCAAGGAGAGAAACAGAATGATCCAGAAGTTGACCACCGTTTTAATGTTGCTTAGATTTCCCGGGCTCAGAAAGGTGTAGGTTGCTGATCGTTTATTCATCGTTAAGAATAAAATAGTCTCGTTTTGTTTGATGTGTTCCATTCCACCTTTTAATTTTGTTGAAAAATGGAGCCTAATTTTTAAGCCTCGTGAGTTATCAATTCTGTTGTAGAATTTAGTGTAGCAATATGCTCATTTATGTAGTCTGGTTATAGTTCTCTAAACTACTAAACTTTAAGTTCTGAAAAATCTTTATCTCGCATGAATTTTCTTTCTCTAATCTCTTTTTAGTAAGCATTTGATAAAAAAATGATTTTATAAAAAGAACAGTAATACTAAATTAATCTTTTCGCATTATATAATAAACAGTAATGTTTCATCTAGTAGATACCCGTCTGTATGAAACACCTACGATTTGTAATTTTTTTCACGTGATGTTAAATTAAATATAATTTATTGTCTACGTTTTTTTTTAAATTTCTGTTTTATCTTGCGGAAGAACCCTGACTGCTTTGTAAAGAATTCAAAAAGACGGTGCCTTTGATTTTTTAAAAATAAATTACAGCATTTCTTTGTCGCAAGATAAAAGGAGCAGAAAAAAATATTCATAAAAAGATGTAATTACACTAGAAAGGAATTTGCCTTCGCATAAACTACAAATTCTGTGTTCATAGTTATTTTGGCATTGAAGAATAATTGACATAAGTTTATGATTAATATCTAGCAAGTTTTCATTGTATAGAACAAGTTTTCGCTCAGTTAAATTCTAATGTACACAAGGACGGAGACAGAAATCGGTTGGTATATCTATCTATTTTGATGAATGATCTATTTACGAAGAATGATCTCAGACATTATCTCGTAGAAAAAGTATATGAAGCAGCCATGATCTTGGACAAAATCTTTAAAAAAATAAAATACTGTTTAGAAAAATATGAGGCGATTAAATATTTTAAAATTGATTGTTAAAAGCCGTATGGTAATTATTTGTATTTTATTAAATTAATTTTTAAAAAAGCAAAAGCATAAAAAAATATTTTAATAACAAAGGATTTTAAAATGTAAATTTGTAAAAGATATAAAAAGTTTCCTTTAAAATTGATAAAATTCATACATTCATACAAGTTAATAATACAATTTCAACGATATAAAAAGGAGTATTTTTTTAAAATAAAAATTTACTTCGGCATCTGTATCATAGCGTTAAACTATGGATTCTCTTTGATAATACATTGAATTAAAAAAAAAGAACGCGATAACTAAATGGGTAAACCAACGTATTTAGTCTAACAATTATTGTATAACAGACATTCAGAAAACATGTTATATCGGTGATAATTCGAGAGATTGGCTTAATTTTTTTTTGTTTCGCAAAAGAAAAAAAACGCAAGAGAAGAGTACCAACACACTTAATGATGTTGTATATTTGTTCAATGCGAAAGAGGTAAAACCTCACTTGTTTCTTGAATAATAAATCGACATAAAACTCAAACTTACATATTATATTACATTTTATATATATATATATATATATATATATATATATATATATATATATATATATATATATATATATATATATATATATATATATATATATATATATATATATATATATATATATGTGTGTGTGTGTGTTTGTAAAAAAACGATCTTACTTTTAAAACATAATTTTGTTGTACTTGTTTTAAAAACATATTTGCATTTTAGAAATCTGCATCAGTATAGTTGCTGTAAAACTCAGTGTTAAAATAAGGATACGTATTTCTACAATACAATGGGCATGGAGCACATTAACAACAATCTAACCACTGTATTCCGTACAACCTTTAGACCAACGGCTGGCAACAACTTATTGAGTCCAGTACTTCTAGAGAACGTTAAAACCGTGGTCAAGCTCTGGATACTTTCCATTCTGCCGTGCATCGGCGTGGTTACAAACTCCTTGAACATCACAGTGTTTCGGCGTCAAGGCTTCAAAGAAGGTCCCGTCATCTCGATGTTCTCGTTATCCGTTTGGGACCTGCTAAAGTGTGTCTGCGGTCTGATACATCAGCTGTACGGACCGTTGGGTTTAGTCTCGCCCGTTCTCGGGATCTCGTGGGAAAATGCAACAATCCCGTACTTCGAGTACACGACGATCTTCGCTGGTTATGTTTCTTACGCTCTAGCGGCTTTTGTTTCTGTGGAGAGATGTCTGAGTGTTAGCCTGCCCTTCAAGGCCAAGCTGATGATCACTCGTAAAGTGACAATACTTTGTGTGACGGCGATATCCATCCTTGTCTTTGGTTCCTACACCGTCATCTACGGCATATACCAGGTCGTCTTCGAGTTCAGCCCGGAGTTTAACGCCACAATCGCTAAACTCGCGTTCACTAAACTTTACCTGAACAAATCTGACATCATCATGAGCTACTACCAAGCCGTCGGTATCATTCTCCCATCCGTTAGTTTTTTCATCATTTGTATCTGTTCCTACCTGACCGTATTTCACCTGAAGAAATCGTCACGGTTCATGAAGCACAAATCAGACAACGCGTCGTCCACCACGACGTTGTCAGCCAGAGAAAAACAAGTGGCCTTGACTCTTCTGTCCGTGACCTTTGTCTACATCATCAACCTGTTCCCACGAGTCGTGTTTTACTTGGCCCAGATGGTGGAGCCAGAGTTTTACCTGCTGAGGAAATACAACGACCTGTTTTTCCTCACCGTGATTTTTATCTTTATCTTAGATTTTTTAAACGCCTCCATCCATTTGTTTATATTTCTTGTAATGAGCTCCAGCTTTAGGCGGACCTTTAAATCGATTTGGTGTCGAAAGGAAAAACTACACATGAAATAAATGCATTTCAACAACAAAAGAACCACTCACTATTTCCCATTGCAAAAGTTTACCTTCTTTCCAAATCTACACGCTTCTACCCTCTCATACCAGAACTACGTTCCACAATCCCCATCAAATTTATTTCCAAAGTATAGTTCTCATAAATCCACAACTTCTCCTCATAATAAATTCTCCAAAGCCGGACTTTATGTTAAACATCGACTTTATTTGTTTATGGTTGTAAATTTTCTGATACTTTAGCCCATAATTTTATATAGAAATTGATCTTACCATGCAAAGGTACGACGCACCCGACATTTATAAAAATAGTGCTAACTGTGTAATAGTTCGACATAACTATGATAGCAGCGGATTGCGTTCATTTTAATTTTGTCAGCTTTCAAAGAAGGCTTTACATCTATTGAATATTGTCAGTAGCGTAGCGAGAGGGGGGGGGGGGCGGGGGGGGGGGGAGACATATGTCCCCGGGCGCCGAACTTAGGGGGCGCCAAAATGGGTTGGAAAGATAAATTGAAAGGTTGAGGGTGGTGTAAATCGAAAGTTTGAGGGGGGGGGGTGCAAATGGAAATCTCGAGGGGGGGGGGGGTGCAAATCGAAAAGTTTGTCCCCGGGCGCCGGGAAGGGTCGCTACGCCTCTCAATGTTGTATTTATGTCGTCGACGTAACACTTTTTTATTACAACAAACTTTGTGTTAATTACCAAGTTAACTTCTGTAAATTTACTCTTTAGCTTTGATTCTCGCATACGTTTTATAAATAGATTTTTCCAAGAAAATTATTATTTTGCGTAGATTACTATAAAATTTTAAATATTCTATTTAGTACTTTACACTTTTACATATCTTTACTTGCCTCGTTTGGTTTTCCCAGTCATCGTCAATTGCAGTTAAACTTAAAAAATAAATAAATTATAAAACGATGTTCTTAATATCGCCATGATTCTTTATGTTATCGACCTATTTTCACGATCGCTTGTGATATAATTAATGTGATGTTGTCTACGTTGAGATTAATATAAAAACATTTATGTTTCAAAAATGTATTTGTATGCTACCAAAACTGATTGTAAAAAAAATACATCAATAAAAATGTTAACATTAAAAATAAAACGTTTTATTAATAAAGAGGTTAGAAGCAACCTTGGATTAGCCAAAATGTTTGTGCATATTACAGCTTCAAATTGACATTTGAACTAATTGTTTTTCAGACGATGTTGTTGAAGTGTGTCAGTTAACATGGTTTGTATTCACATTAAGGGAATCAATTCTCTTATTTATTTATTTAATCTTAGAAATAAAAAGATAATTGTTTTAATCAACACATATTTTATCTTACATTTATACAAAACTTTTTTTTTTCAAATTTCGTTGTCACATATGTTTAGAACAGATAAGATCGACCATCTTTAATTGAGAATTTACAAATTTTCAATTTGATATTGTCGTAAAACGTTTTAACCGGTACAACGCAAAAAAAAAAAAAAAAATTAAAGAAAAAAAAACTAACAAAAAACATACCTTATCAATTTTTTTGGCTTTATTTGAACAATACGTATGATATTTAAATATTTCTATACTTTACAACCATGCATTTAAAATATTAAGTGAATGTCTTTCAACAACGTATTGGTATTTTAAAAATACATTGATATCAAATTGAAAAAAAATACATTTTTTTAATTAAGTCCATGCTCTATGTTAGAGCAAAGATTCCTATTGCTGACCAGTCTGGGTACCACAAAATTTAAGATAAAACCGGTTAAATTAATATAGACATGTCCATATTTTGCTAGGTGTTGCTGTTCAACTTTGCGTCGTTCAACAAAGCTCTTTGAATGGCGATGTCTTTCAACATTGTTCTCTCCCCTCTTGAAAAACGATGAATGCAAAATGTCAGTATTGAACGTAATATACCATAGTTATGACATTTTCTCTTCATGCAATTAAATTTATATTGTTTAACCGAGTTTTCTATATAACAATGTCACCCATAATTCAAACATAGTGACTTTACCTCATAAAAATAAATGAAGATGAAAGAACCCATTATCTGTTTAGGACTTTCGATGATATTAAATTTTAGATTGCTTAACCGAGTTTTATATAAAAAGAATACGCCAAGCACATAGTGATCTCCCCTGATAAAAATTCACCCATGTCAGAATTGGACATTGGATATCATTGTCTTGACGTTACCTGCCCTTCTTTTCTTGCACATTAAATCAACGAAGGCCGCCTTGTATTTTGCGCTCATAGTGTAGTAGATAAAAATATTCAGTGACACGCCTAGTAAGTCAAACAAGAAGGTCAGATCGGATATGACGTAATACAAGTTCGATAACGAACCGTTAGATAAATTTAGCACGTGATCCAAGTTAAGCATGACGTAGACGAACGCTATCGGCAAGGCGGTCGTTATGAAAACGAGGTTAATAATGATCAACATTTTAATCAACTTTAAATCCCTTATGATCGAATTGTCCGCTTGTCTGGCGTTGAGGTTGTTCTGTCTCCATTTAGACATGACACGCAGATGATGACTGATGATAGCTGTGCAGACGATATCCACTAAACACGTCATCCAAATACTGAACACATGAACCACCGTCCCTATGTTCTTATCGTGGTAGCAATTCTCTATAAACATAACATCCAAAAATGATTCATTCCTGGGTTTATAAAACCTGTAGCCGATATCTTCACAGTAATAAAAGAACGGCATCTCGAGAATGTAGCAGAGGTATATGAAGACGATGGTGACGGTGGTTGATCTGATGGTGAAGTAGTTCTTCACCTTGAGGGGCATCACGATACAGATACATCGCTCCACGTTGATTAGCATTTTTATACAGCGAGAGATTCGCGAAAAAACTTGGCTCGGAAAACCTAAAAGGAAAAAAAAAATTATATTTCGAAAAAAAAAATTCAAAGGTTTGTTTTCTAAAAAAATTGGTAGCTCAAATACTATGATATATATGTTATTTTATACAAGAGTTCTATATCCCTAAAAGGGTTACATACCAATTTTATGTAATTGGAATTTTTCCTTTTTTTTTTAGAAAAAAATTATTGTAGGCTGTTGCCCCATTCGGTTTATCACCTATTGTTGTTAAGATATTTTACATATTTATTTTTATATTATTATATAGTTTTTAAATGGGAAGCGGCTGGCAGAGGCAGGACTGTCATGGGGGCTGCCAGGAAAATTGTCGGTGACCAACAAACATTGAGGGAGCTTTCTGTAGCGACCCCATATGTCTTGGGCACAAAAAAAATGATAAGCCTAAAATACATTTCCTGCCTACTGAACTTTTCTCTACAAAAAAATAATATTACTTCAATTCTAGTAAATTAACGATATTATTAATCATAATTTAATTGTTTGGCTATTATGAAATACATTTGCAATTTTTTTATAGAATGTCAAGTAATGTAATATACCATTCGACAATGTCAACTTTAATTTTCATTAATAATTAAGCTATAAACGTACTCGAAAACGAAAACGTCAACTGCCAATGGTTCCAAGGATTGGTCCATGGGATGAAGGAATTCGTCGTGAAGGCGACAGACCAGGTGACAGGGATCAAAGAGAGAACGTCAGCTATGGACATGGCGAAGAAGCTGATGTTTACAGTGTCATGGAAGCCCTTTAAAAGAAACGAGTACAAGAAATACATGCAGTGTCATCAAAATGTCAATAAGAACTGGAGCATGAAATATTTACAGTGTCATTCAAACGGATGACAGTGCAGTGTCTTCTAAAAGGCACAAGAACAAGAGCACAGAGGCGTAGCGACCCTACCCATCGCCCAGGGACAAACTTTTCGATTTGCACCCCCCCTCGAACTTTTCATTTACACCCCACCCCCCCTCAAACTTTCGATTTGCACCCCCCCTCAAACTTTTCATGTATACCCCCCCCCTCAAACTTTCAATTTGGCAACCCCCCTAAGGTCGGCGCCTGGGGACATATGTTCCCCCCCCCGCCCCCCCCCCCCTCGCTACGCCTCTGCAAGAGCGTGAATCAGACTCTGAAAGTACCGCCCCACCGAACGAAATGGAATTTATATATTAAAAAATATATACTTTTAGAAGTGTCCGACACCCCCCCCCCCTGAAAATGTAGTTCGCCCCCACCCCGAAAAAAAAATCAAGTTCCCCCCCCCACACACCCACCGGAGAAAAAAAGTTTGAAAGAAACGCTGCATAAAATATTTAGAGTGTCATTAAAACAGTAGTCAAAACCCAACAATGAACGAGTATATACAACGCTAACGGCTATTTGTACAATGTGAAGGAAATACAAACAATATCATTTTAATTCATTTGTTTCTGAAAACATACAATATACAAGGTAAATCTACTCGAATAATGAAATGTAAAACACAATTTTCTGGGTATGTTCATTGACTATATAGTTGTAAGAATAATATTTATAAATGGGTTAAAACCACAGTATCCCATAACCCAACATTTAGAAGCAACACATTACAAGTTGGGACAAGCACGGAGTAATGTAGGCAGAATCACCATCAATTCAATGCCCTTTTTATTATAATCTACTTTAAATATCCATTAAAGTATCTTGACTTGACTTAGTCCTCTTTTCTCCTAAAGTAGCATAGGGCCTGTTGCTATATGTTAATTTTACAAGTACAGTAATGGTTTTGTATATTTTATTAAGTTTTTGGCTCAAAAATTGTTTGGCTAAAACCGCAACAAGGACTTATGATAAAATACTAAAATATTACTTTGTTAACTTAACACGGTTATAATAGTCTGGCCAAGCAGACTATAAGTATTGCTATTTGTCCTATTGACTTACTGTGATGGTTTGGTTGGATAGTAGATGTTATGACTGCTAACCCCGAAGTCTCGAGTTCGGATCCCAAGTATGTAGGTAGTGCTTGAGAATGGGCAATTGATTCAACTCAGGGAAACAAAGGCGGCTGGGCATAGTGTTGACCATACTATCATCCTATATGTCGATGTTAT